CATTTCCAGTGCCTTAACCACATTTGGGGCCTCTGTTTTATGCAAGGTACTCAAATTCAGTTTATCTATGAATTTGGAAAATTTGTCATGATACATGTAACTGCAAGCATGTCTCTTCTATTCTCGCTGTTTGCTTTAACTTTTCTTACGTTGACCCTTGGTCCTGAAGGCGACGGCGTTGTTTCGGAGGTTTTGTCAAACAGTGCTACTGTGGAATAAAAAGGAAGAAATGTATGATTAGGGATGCTTCCCTCTATAAATTTACGATACTTAAGAATGGATTCATAACTGGTTTCTGAATAAAATATTCAAAGTATATTTCCTTTTATGGCTTATATATGGAGATGTAAGGTTTAAAGATTAAAAAAATCATAGTTTCATTTATGGTAAACTGGGTTTTAAATCAAGCAAGGATAATATTTTGGGCGTAAATTGATTGTATGTTGTTTAACGTTCCGTTTGAGAATGTTTCACTCATATAGAGACGTCACCATATACCGGTGAAGGGCTTCAAATTTAGACCTTTACTCGGCACTCGGGCCATTGAGCAGTGAGGGTTCTTTATCGTGCCAACGCCTACCGTGACACGGGGCCTCGGTTTTTAAGGTCTCATCCGAAAGACCCCTAATTTTTACTTCTAAGTGCCGAGCGCTTGGCGAAGGAACAGTTGCTACCTATTTTTGTCGACTTAGGTCAGTCGCAGTCGTGATTCGAACACACGACCTTCCGACCGACTGAGCTACCGTGACACTATGGCGTAGAGTTTAAAAACATCACATGATCTGACTTTAAAATTTACTTCACTGTAATGAATTTAGTTGACACTTTTAAACGATTAAAGGTGAAAGGGGTTTTCTGACGTGAATTAAGTTATAATTAGGGACTGTAGTTTTAAAATGTAATAAATACATGTAAATATGATTTACCAAACAAACTACAATCTTGTTACTTTTGTAAGCTTCCAGTACAAGAGCAGATTTGAGTTTAAAAAATCGGCAAACGCTGCCCCCCCCCCCTCTTATTTAACGTTTGTTTTTAATCGTTTTGTATCGTCATGTGACTTCATCATTAATTTATGACATATAAAACATCGTTTATTGAATTTTGTCATATTATCTGATAAACCTTATGCTCTATCATCTTTTTATGCAGGAAAAAAAACCCATATGTTTCTAATTAAAGTAGCCATCACATGATTGGCAACAGTATTTCGTTTTGATCCTTACTGTTAAGGAAAAGGATAATGACCTTGACCTGACCTTGCTGTTTAAATAAGACGGTCAAATTTGATTTAGTTGATACCATCACTGAGCGTTTTTGTCTTCCTTAATATTCGAAAATTTCAATAATTATACCCTCTCCCCCGCAAACGAAGATTGGGGGGTATATATAGGAATCACCTTGTCCGTCCGTCTGTCTGTCTGTGCAAACGTGTCAGGTCAATATCTTTCTCACAGAGAAGCATTAGAATCTACTACTTTGCACAAAGATTGCTTATAACCTGAGGGTGTGTCATGACCTTGACCCAAGGTCATATGGGCAGTTCAAGGTTACTGAAAGAAAAATTTCATAATTTATGTCTGTTCCATATCTTCTTATGGATAAACTTGGCGAGTTCCCATTTTACACAAAGATTGTTCATGACCTGAGGATGTCATGACTTTGACCCAAGGTCATTTGGGCAAGTTCAAGGTCACTGAAAGAAAAAGTTCTTAATTCGTGTCCAGTCCACATCTTTCTTATGGATAAACTTGGTGAGTTCCCATTTTACACAAAGATTGCCTATGACCCGAGGATCTGTCATGACCTTGAAGTAAGGTCATTTGGGCAATTTCAAGGTCACTGACAGAAAAAGTTCATAATTCATGTCCGGTCTGTATCTTTCTTATGGAGAATAATGTTGGGAGTTTCCAATTCACACAGATTGCTTATGACCTGAGGGTGTGTCATGATCTTGACCTATAGTCACTGTAGAAAAAATTGATAAATAATGCATCCATACTTTGCAATAGAGAAATACTTGAAAAATTGTCATTTATTTTTTCAATATAATAAAAAAAATGTTATTATAAGTATTGATGTTTTATTAGGCTGCGCCTTAGTTTCATTCATCAAAAAATAAAATGAGCAATTACCGGTAAATGTTTAAACAAATTGTGAACACCTCTTAGATCCACCGAATACTAGTATTAGTGACTTGGCACCTTCTCTGAAAAACCTTGCGGGGGTATTTGTCCATTTTGGACAGTTTTAGTTTTAAATACAATAAATATAAAAAGCAATCCATCCATAAGGAGTTAAATGACAAATAGAGACATGCCTACGTCATAGAATCTGTTCATGCATTACATTTTTATAATCATCAGTACTTGTGTCAATGGAGACTTCTATCCCAAAGGGAACATTTCCACAGGCTTTTACATATTTATTAAGACAGATTTTTAAAAATAAATAAATAAATAAATACTTGTAATCTTGAAACATTGCAAATTGATTCTGAATGCAGGACAAAATAAATCATTCGAACACTTTATCTGCATATTCTTCCACAACAGCGTTTTTGTCTTTCAATACTTTGTTATCTATGAACATATTTTCCTTTGTGGTAAATGTCTTATATCCTGTATGTTTTTATGGTGTTGTTATAGCTATTCTTAATATTTTTTAGGAAGTTCTTTCTTTACACCTAAACAGATAAGGGATAAAAAGTTCCTCTGATTATCAAGCGTGACTGAAGATATTTTCCTCATCATATTTGATATCGATAAACTTGCACCTTGTTACATAAGAAACGCCTTGATAAATTTGCTGTTAAACACGTAAAAATCAATGCATTGAGACTACTAAGTGCACTATTGACTGTGCATACGTTTTGGTCTATATGTTGTATTTTTTTCCCCAGGCTTATATATAGTGTATATTTTTGGGTCTATATGGTGTATATTATTTGGTCTATATGTTATATATTTTTGGGGCCTATGTGTTGAATATTTTTTTGGTTTATATGTTGTATATTTTTTTGTCTTTATTTTGTTTACTATTTTTTATCTATATATTGTATATTTTTGGGTCTATGGTGTATATTTTTGGGGTCTAAATGTTGAATATTTTTTGTTCTATAAGTTTTATATATTTTTTTTTCTATATGTTATATAGTTTTTTATGTGTTTTTTTATTTTTGGTCGATATGTTGTATGGTTTTTTGGGTCTATATTTTGTTTATATTTGTTTATATGTTGTATATTTTTGGTCTATATGTCGTATATTTTTTGGTCTACATGTTGTATATTTTTTGGTCTACATGTTGTATATTTTTAAATTATAATGTTTTACCTTTACAACGAAGTATCAGCTTTTGTATTCGTCGATGAAAATTTTTCGTAAAAAAAGTATCAATGTAGACTTAATTCTGTTGTCTGGATTGTCAAGGAAACATACATTACCACAGGCTTTTACATATTCAGAAAGAATTATTGTGTGTTGAAAATTAATACTCTTGAAATATTTGAATTTGAGGCGGTCTTTTAATGAATTTGAAGGAATCAAATAAAGCAATTTGTTCATAATTTTGTCATATTGTAATTTTTGAATTTACCAGGTGGTAGTAACCACAAAAATTACAATATGACAATTGTCTTATTGTAATTTTTGTATTTACTACCACCCGGTTAATTCAAAAATTACAATATGACAATTTAATTAAAAACAAGTACAAATAAACAAACTTTTATTTTAAATAAACATATCTTTGAATCAAGTACTTTTACTACTTATTAGGTTTGTTACTGTCTACAGAAATTTATCTGGTTGTTTATTAATCTCATATTGGCCTCCGCCTCGTCGTCTAGGAGATTGATCAACCCGATATCTGTATGTCTTTAGACAGTCAGTAACTAACCAAGTAAGTAATTTATTTTCTCGAGGGTCATAGTGTGAAACACATAAACACAAGACAAGGCCTATCAACGCTGGTTTATCAAAGGAGGGGGTGGGGGGACAGACAAAAATAATTGTTAAATAAGAAAAAAACCCATCAAAACTCGGGAGGTGGTAGGATCTTTCTCTACGTTTTCGGAATTATTTTTAATGCAATAAAATGGCACTGATACAGAATCTACAGCAAAACAATATTCTTAACACAGCATGAGCCCCCTTACTACAACGGGCCTGCAAATAGAGATGATCAAGATTATGGAATACAACATATTTTAACTCTCTCAATTTACTTTGTCAGATATTGATTTTCACCTGCCGTACATAGAAATATATATAGCCGACAGTCACGTGTCTTTTAAACCTATGAAACTGCGACGTTTCAATCCGGGGGAAAATCATGCTTAATAGTATGTGCGCTAGATATATCTGGCAACAAATTTTAATTGCGCGAATATGTAAGAACACACAATTGAAAATTTTCAAAATTCAATATACAGCTTTACATTGATGGTTGCATGTTTTATTCATCCGAATAGAGATTAAAGTGATTTGGATTGCGGCTGGCTGATTTAAAACTTGTGCCAATCACAATAATATCACACGTGGTTTGAGAATTTCAGTTTAGTTTAAACTCGTTCAATCAATCCACGATTCCAGTTTAGTTAGGAGGTAATGCAGTTGATTGACACTGTACATGTTCATGTACGTTTACTAGAAGTTTGAGGAAAATAAGCGAGTACATTTTAATACATATATTAGTTGCACGTTCTTACAAATCATGCTCTGTCAAAGAGGTAAAAGAGGCAATATTAACAATTGTTATACAAATTAAAACCAAGAAAGAGGCCATGTGTGGATGGATTAATTTTCATGTTGATTCTATAGTTAAACGTTTCTGCGAGAATATTTCATATTGAAATGGCACAAACTATTGACGTTTTCAGCTGCAGCATATCGGCTAAATGTGTTGATACCACTTACTACAACATAGCCCAAAACTGTTGTCGTTCAAGGTGATAAAGTAAACTGAAACACATATCTATGTGCTTTTTATTATTGTCGAACTTTTAACAGGCATGGATCAGTAGACTTATTTACACGTACAAAACATCAGTATCATTCTTGAAATACTCCTGAACGATTAAGCTAGCTTAATTCGACTGACGAAAAATGCAGATCATGCAGGGGTTTTTTTCCCTAGAAATAAACATTGCACAATTGTTTTAGTCACATATATTTGATTTTCATAATAATTACAAACAAAATAGTAAAACAAAGTATGAAGAATAACCGACAAAAGCAAATGTTACATGTATATATTACATTAACAAGCACTTCACAATCCCCTTTGTCAATGCACACTTGGTTTTCTGTTGATTCTAAATATCCCACAATGGTTTTGCTTTGTCCATCACTTCCATTGACACATCTGTCTTTTCTAAGATTTGAAATAAATTTAAAATTATAAATATATACACAACATTAACAACTTCACATATATATAAAACTGAAATCTTGAACCAACTTTATATTAGAAATCGTGAAAGTGAATGATCATTTTTGCAATATCCAGCACAGGCACCTGACAAATGGTTGTTGTAACACCCCCAACCCTTCTACTGAGGATTTTATTTAGACACAATAACCTAGCAAATATACATGAATTCCTAGTCTATCATACCAATATATCAATCTTTGATATCATTTTCCGTTTTTGTCAAGTTTTAGAGATTGGCCCTTTATGGTATATAAAAATACTAAGGTAAGAAACAAAATCTTGTGAACACACAGGGTGCCCCGCTTCGAGGGAGATTTTCAACATTAATAGAGCATTGTCAATGATTTATGCAAGAGGCAATTATTTTACAAACCTTTTATAGTCAAAACCCGGTCATAATGATTTATTTGTCCTAAATTTATGTTAATTTACCCAATTTCCTTTCGCTGGCAATCTTATTGTTGGTCTTGGAAAACATCCAAGGAGTTCCGTTTAGGTATCTCTAGATTTTTCATAACGCTAAACAAAGTAGTACTTGATGACTTCCTGTTTGGCAGACAGTGGAAGGAATTCTGGTAAATAATCCCAAACTTAGGACAAATAAATCATTTTGACCTGGTGTGACTATAAAAGGTTTCTAAAACATATCCCTGAACTATAATACACTAAGAATTTATGTATATTTGCTAAGTTATCGTGTCTTAAAAAATTCTCAGTAGGAGGGAGGGGGGGGGGTTACCCCAACCATACGCAAGGTGCCCGATATCCAGCGTCCCTTGTATACAACATTAAAGAGAATATAAACATACCAGAGTGTAATGAAAATGGCAATGGGTCACCCATTTTAGGTCTCGACAATCCTCCTTTTGTGGACTCGTCAATAACCAATGTTTTTCTAAATCTCGTTGGGCTGGGTGAGTTGACAGGAGTCAGGTCTTCGCCAATCGAATGAGCGTACGACATCCGCGTGTGATAAGACGGAGGGCGCATGTCACTCAATGGTCTCCCACTTCCGTAAAATACATCATCATCAGTGGCAAGTACCATTGGCATTGGACGCGGTTCAACGTCCGGCAGTGCAACCTCGCTTAGGATGCTAGTTCTGCGCATTTGTGATTCTCCTGATTTGGACTCGCGGAAATCAGAAATGCTGCTGAGTCGGCGGAAAGCCTTCAGTTGCACATTATCGTTTACTTCTTTGTAATCGTGTGGGGGAACCCCGATCTCCAAGTCGTCTGCTTCGTACAAATCGTTAAGAATGACATCTTCCTGAAGCTCATCTAGTAGATCTCTCTGAGAGCTATACTCTGTGCTACAATGTAACGTGAAACGTTTGTTTTCATAATTCTTTTAATAATTTATTTTAACATTGAAACTTATTGTAAAAAATCTCTTTTGTTGAAAAAGATATGATTAGAATTGAAACTTTATAAATAGTTTAGCATACTTGGTTTTATGTTTCCTCCATATGAATATTCCCACACCAATTCCAACAAGTGCTTCTGCACCGAATAAAATAAGAACAAATTCCCAAATCTCTAGCATATTGCTATACATCTCATGAATTGGAAGTTCCCAACTGAATATAAAATTTGTAAATGATTCTAAGATACTAGATGCATGCATGGTACTAAAAATTGAGAGTATACGTTATATTCGTAGATGATACGTTAAAAATCACAGTCGCTAATTTACAAGACAGCATTTTGTTTTTAAAAAATATCCAATTAAAACAAATAGAAAATAAAATTTAAAAAAGAAGTGAATTTTACACAAGATTTTAAAACAAACCCATACAATTCTAGAGCTCAGTAGACAAAAAAAGACAATACCTTGTCTCAGAAAATGTCCATGTTAGAATGCCGAGGTTTGTTTTAATCCTGTCACACGAATCTATGGACCCTGGCAAAGTTCTTTTTAGTATTGATAATTCTTATCGATGCTAAGTGCTTGTTTATGTCGCAAGGTACGACAATTTATTTAAATTTTAAATTTACACAGCTATTAAAGTCTTCTTATAAAACGCTTTGAAAGGGATAGGTATAGATTTTACCATCGATCAAATTCATTTTTTCCCCAATTTTTTTAGTTTAGATACTTGGACAACCAGCTTTGAGTCAGGTCATCCAATTATTGAAGTACAATGTTTGAACACGTATCCGAACTATTGCAAAAAATTTGAATTGGTTACATTTTCATTTTTTGTAATGGTCTAATTAAATACCAATGCTGTTGTTGACATGAATATTAAAATACATTTATAACGTTAAATTAGAAATGAAAATATTAATTATACTATTTTCTACAAAAAAGGCAACGGCTTTGCATGCTAACCAACGATTTGTGTATGCAATAAAACGAAAAAGATTAACTATGACCTACAGACAACTTTTAAAATTTGTCTCAAATCTAAAGACAACTGTCTTTTAAAATTGCTTTTTTTTTCTTATCTACATTCTAATCTACAAGGCAGAAAACTATTGGAATGATAACTATGGAATGTCCTCAAGCGATCAGAACTTGGGATTTGTTTGTTTATCAATCAGGAGGTTGTGTCAATCTAGACCATAATGCACACGAACCCAGTGCAGTATGACAAAACCTCTCTTTCTCTCCCGTAGTTCCATATCTAACACTGTTGTTACAATGATCCTTTTGTCGTTATATTCTCTGTTTATTGTTGGTGTTGATGCATTCATTCCTAATGCCTTTACGCCGTATATCACTGACAAGGATTACACTCACCAAGATCTGACGGAACGCGGTATTTTGTTGGCGGTTGCTGAGTATTTCGAGAGTAAAGCCGCCCCTGGACAATCCGCCCCACCCCAGGCTGGATCTCTGACGGGGATAGTAAATATAACAGCACGGAAACTGTTTGACACTTACTATGGGTGTAAGTATAAAACTGGGGAAATCGATGTATTCCAAGACAAAGATGACACGGCAGATTTAATTTATACTTGTAGAAAAAGTCTCTCATTTTCTCACAATGCAGTGCGTTTTTCAAGAGGATAGAACCACAGAGTACAATACTAATCTAATGAACATGTTTTTACATGTACTTCAAAGTCAATTTTTATGTCTGATTTTATATTTTTATTCAAGCTTACGTTCCAGAGAAGAAGTTTCAATCTGCCATTGATGATATTGTCAATCACAACTCTCGAGTGGACCGAGATCACCCAAGAGAGGCTGCCTGGCATTTCAATGGCGAACAAATCAGCCAAGGTTTTGCATTTCTCTCGGTTTTAGACGGTTGAAGTATATTTTAGCTATTTCAGTTTTATGGATTTTCCAAATAAGCAACAAAATATACGGAATTGGTGTTTGTATTTTAAATCTACTTGATACCATTATCTTGCCTATTCATTGGTATATTCAGTAAGTTAATAACATTTGAGTATAATAAAAATCAACTATTTTTGAAGTAAAACTCATTTGTTTTAAAAGGGAATGATATTTTATTGAACCTACGATCGTCAGCTTTTGACGCCTTAAATGTCTCGCAACCAAATTATGCCACGGCTCGTAATATGATTGGACAATACTTGCATGTTCTTCAAGATTTCTATAGCAACACGAACTGGAAGAATATTAACACATCGACTTACTACAGTGATTTAGGTATGAAGATTCAAAATTTGTTCTCAAATGATAAATAAACAATTCATTAAGATTTCTGCGTACTCAGTGTTTGACACGCTATATTTTCTCACATCAGGCGTTCCTGGCAAATCACTACTTCCTATAGCAGCCTCATCTGAGGAAACCTGTAAAAACTGTGGGTTCGTACAATATCAACCTCTTTTACTGTTAAAACAAAAACAAAACAAAACCAAAAACAAAACAAAACCAAAAAACAACAACAAACAAACAAACAAACCAAAAGATAGATCCAAAGTGCTATGTTGAACCACTAGGTGTTTTGCTTTAATTGGAATCCGTAACGCTTAGTTATCAATCTATGCTATATTTAAATCTGCCATGTATTTCATTATGTATTATATGTATCAAAATAAATACAAATCACTCCATTGCTGTCGTATTACGATCTTATTTTCACAGAGCTTTGCTTCCTTGTTTGTTTGATCAGCCGGTGTTGCCCAACAACAACAAACTGACCAGCGGATACAGGAGTGGACAAGATATCGTTAAACCGTCACGTATGTCACCTTCTACTAATATTCTTATCTAACTTAGTACAGTTTATGTGTAATCAAAAATTCAAAATGATCTGATACATGTATGCTTTATTAAGATCAAGGACCTTCTGGTCATGTGAGGTTTTACCAATCAATAAAACAAATCATGTAAATATAAGGAATAAATGTCAGATTTTTTTTATTTTATGATGATGATGCGTGATAATTTTATGCATAAACGCCTTATGCAAACTATCACGCGAGCCAATTGCTTGATCACATCAAAAAACCCAAAAAATTAGAAGTTATTCCTTAAGTATTGTTAGCATTCACTCATTGTTAGATAGTCACTCTCACTCGTTACATATCATACTAGATAAATATTAACTCCAGTGTGCATTGCTCTCTTTCCATCGTAACACCAATGTTAAGTTTTTCTTCTGCCCCAGTATCACTGACCGTCTTAAAAATAACCCTTGTGAAATTGCTGCAAACCCTAACTCCCAAGTCTCAAAGGGTTGAGATTGTAAAATTAAATTAAGGCTTCTAATAGTGTTATGTTTTCTTTTTAGTGGCCAATTACATATGTTAATATATGTTTAGAAAGAAAAGTTTTACAAGCATGTCGTACAATTTCCACATTTAACACATTCAAGCACAGAACTGAAGATCAATAGAAGCTGCAATTTTTTACAGTATGATCGAAATTAAAAAAAAAAATATTTGCAGGACCAACAACAGATCCACAAGGAAAATGCAGTCATGGCGGGAAACTTGACACTAGTGCCACTACATCTGCTGCTGTGGGGGGAATAAACAAAGAAACAACGACAGCGGCCTACTCACCTCTCTCTATTGATCACAATGTAGTTTCAGACCTTGCCATTCAACATACGAAATATTTCTTCTCTGGCAAAAGTAAAATAAATCTGTATTGAGAAGTAAATTGAAATTTCTTGTCACTTTTGAGGCTTTATCTAGAATAAGTAAATAATATGAAGAGGACATTTTCACTCTAGCTTTCAAAACGTTTTACGACATACCGTTTGGTTTTTCCTGTCGTAGGTTCTCTCCAAATAAAGAACTTTTACTGGATACATATACTAACGTATAGTTTATTTATTTTCAAAATAGCTTATGGATTGAGAGCTGTGTTTGGGGATAGTAAATTTGAAAATCTTCTACAGCTTCACGCTGGAATATCTCTCTGCTTTGTTATTGATACCAGTGTTTCTACAGAAAGGGACGCAATCAAACAAGAAATTCAGAAACTGGTATCCTCTGGAAGTAATCCATACAACTATATATTGGTGTACACAAATCAAGGTAAGGGTGACAGATAATGTTTGAATTTTGAAATTTTATTATCAAATTAAATAATTAATTTAATTCAATTTTTATTTTTTTTTCGATATCTGATAATGAGGATTCGTTCCTCTTAAACAAGTACTTCGTATTTGTTTATGAACACTTTCGATATGAAATGTTTAAATGTGTAATGTTTTTTAGGATATATATATATATATATATATATATATATATATATATATATATATATATATATATATATATATATATATATATATATATATATATCTTATAGATATCGTAGTCTGAAAATACTTCTTAAGAGCCAATGTTTCTATTTACAAATTTTTAAATAATAAAAAAAAATATATAAGTTTTTTATCCTTTCTTAATTTTAATTTTTTCATGAATACTGTAATTGATATTTTCTTTGGGTATATTTCTTCTACAAATTCAGGTCAAAGTACGCCGACGGTTATAACAAAAACCAATGGTAATGATATAATATCTGCCTTCAGTTCCATTAACATACCAACGAACCATTCCTGTACCTACTCCGTATCAGGGACAGAAGCAGGTATTGTAATCAGTGTAGTCGTGTAGTGGACATACACATGATACATGGTGGATTTGTATTTTTAAAATGTGTTACCATTACAATATTAACATGTTCATGTGTATAGATTATTTCTTTCCATCACGATAAAACGGAAATCAATTTAACTGGAAATAAGTAAGAATTAATTTTCAAAGGCCCGTAGGAATCAATTTCATGGGGGGGGGGGGGGCACTATCAAGAAAAAAATAAGATCATCATTATAAAGTCTTCGTTGTTATTGAGGGGGCACAGTCATAAAGTGGTTATGTTTTCTATAGTATACTGTATATCGGCACAATTATAGTGGCCCCCAGGTTCCTGTGACCATGTTTCAGATCTATAAAAAACAAAATAATATACCGGTATAGATACAAAGCATAAAATTGGCCGTAAACTTTCATGTGTAGATCATGATACCTGATAACTATGTCACGTGAGGATGCCGATGATTTCTGCAGATAATACAGTGTGATAATGGTCTTAATATTAAATGTTTAGTGTTCGAAAAAATTATTATTGCATCAATAGCATCTGTAGTAAATTCAAAACAAATCTTTTCAATTGTTTAACTTCTTTCTTATCTGGAAACCCGTATTGGTTTTTCCTTTATACATTACACTCTCATTCTGGGGAGCATTTCTTTTAAAAACTTTTTTTTAATAAAATAACAAATTAATAAACTGGTAAAAAATGTATAAAAAAAAAAAAAAAAAAAAAAAAAAAAAAAAAAAAAACCTTTAAAAACATTAATAACAATCATTAAAGCTATACACGCTATAATTTGTGTTTATTATTTATTTTGTCTACCAAATAAAATTACCAAAATGTTGTGAATTATACAATTGAAATCGAACGCATTACAAATATGTCAAATTATAATTATTTATTTCCCAACTAGGAAAGAATGCCTCTATTTGAATTAATGTATCAGGTGACACTGTCGCAACTTTTAGATTCATAAAAAATGGCGTCGAGAAAACGAGGTAGGCTTTTGGTTTACAATTAACTTGGACATGAATGGCAAACGTCTTACTCATAATGAGTTATCTTTTAAAGCTACCGGTATCTTTGTTTTCATAATCGTGTTCAAAATGCAGCGTGCCTCTTTTTCTATGATTTCCCGCGGACATGTGTTAAGATTGTTTACACACTTTCCTCATTAACCATTCATCGATACAAATATTTATTGGCACAAACACAATTACAATAATTGGCTAAGACCCATTGAACATCACAAGATAATGTTTACATAATTTTATGTAGTAATAAGTAGATTTAAGATTTTATTAAAACCAAGAGACATACATCTCATAGGTATAAATATATTATACATATAGTTCACACTAGAACATTTCATATGAGCAAGATATAAAGTACATGTATAATATTAAGTATAAATAAATAAATAAAAAAAATTGTAAATCCAACAGTTCATTCACGAAAAGGCATCAATTCTTAATTGCAGATTTTGCTTAATTGCATTGTTATTACAAGGGCGTATTTAGTAAAATTTTGTGGAAAGTATTATTTTTTATTCTTCAATATGTTTTCTCAAATCATTTAAAATTCGGGGGTTTTAGCGTGTATAACTTAAAGAAATAATATAAAACAAATTTTTTATTCATGACTTTCTTGCAAGCTATCAATAAGGAATTATTCTATCGAATAAGTAAGAAATGACACCCCCTTTCCCCTTCTGCACTTTCTAACAAAACCACAAATAGATCGGCTGCTGCTTCAGCCTATTAAAAAAATCTTTTTCTTCGTTAAAAAGCCTGGTTATATTTAATTTTTTAGCGGTTACAGCGGCAGAATATGGATCCAAAATCTATGTATTCAGTGACGCTACACCGAAGAATGATATAACAATAAGATACATACAAGCCATGGCTACAGAGAAAGACTTAAGGATATCATTTCTTCTCACTGGACAATGTAAACAGAAACGCTCCACAAGTAAGTAATTAAAATTGTACTTGTTATGATTTAAAGCAAGTTGTTACTTATATTAAAATAAACATATTTTTTAGATGACTGAGCCGACGGCCCAAGTGACTTTTCTGATCAAAATTTATCCGTTGTCGTCGTCGCTGTAAACTTTTCACATTTTCAACTTCTTCTCAAGAGCCACTGCGCCAATTTAAACCAAATTTGCTACTAAGCATCCGTTATAAAGGGATTCAGGTTTGTTCAATTGAATGGTCACGTTCTCTTTCAAGGGGAAAATTTAATTTTAGTGAAAATGGCATATTTCGAAGACTCTTCTCAAGAACAACTGCACAAGAAATGATGAAACTTTTGTGAAAGCTTCTATATACAATCATATTCAAATCATGACCCCTGGGGGTAGGGTGGGGTCACAATGGACGGGTAAAGGTTTAAATAAGAATACCTAGGAAAACTCTTTAAAAATCTTCTTGTGAAGGACAGCAAAGCTATGGTAAGTCATATTTTAAAGGAAGCATCATCAGGTAGTGATGATTCAAATCTGTTCAAATAATGACCCTTGAGAGTAGGTTGGGGTCTCAACAGGATATCAAAGTTATACATAGAAATATATAGGAAATATCTTAAAAACATTTTCTGGTGACCTGCAAGGCCATGATCAGTCATATTCATACAGAAATATCCTCAGGTAACGTAGATTCATTTTTTTTAAATCATGACCCCTAGGGGTAGGATGGGACCAAAACAGGGGATAAAAGTTATACATAGAAGTTAATAGAATATATCTTAAAAATCATCTTTTGATAATGTGCAAAGCCATGATTAGTCATATTAATAAAGATGAATCCTCAGGTAGTGTACATTTAAAATTGTTCAAATCATGACCCTAGAGTTCGAGTGGGGCCACATCAGGGGATCAAAGTTATAATATGAATATTTAGGGAAAATCTTTAAAATCTTCTCAAGAAAAGCAAAGCAATTATAAGTCATTTTAATAAAGAAACATTCTTAGGTAGATTCAAGTTTGTGAAAATCATGACTCCTGGGAGTAGGATCGGGCCACAACAGGAGATCAAAGTTGTACATAGGAATATATATAAAAACCTTTGAAACTCATTTTCTCAAGAACAAAGTCGTGATAAGTCATATTAATACAGAACCATCCTCAGGAAGTGTAGATTAAAGTTTGTTCAAATCATGACCTCTGACGGTACATGTAAGGTGGGGCCACATTAGACAATCAAAAAATCAAAATCTTTAAAATTCATCTCAAGAACAGCAAGGTCATATTAATCGTATTAAATGTAAGCAATTTTGTTTAAATAATCATCCCATGTGAGAAGGTCGGGACTACTTAAACTTTTCAGTACTGAACTGAATTCTTCTTTTCTCCAACCAATGCGCTCAAATGAGCGATGTGACCCAAGGGCTCCTTGTTTTGTAAATACACTTATCAATTAAAGAGGCATAGATACAGATTTGTTTACAGACTTCAAAATGGTTAATAGAATTTCATGACTTTTATGTCGCGAGAGCATTTCACACCGACAAAAGATGTGTTTAAAAAACTTTTTTTTAAATCTGAAACTTAAGAAAACTACGAATTTTGGGCTTGTTTGTTTGTCATACATCATTGTCCTTTCCAAAACTTAAATTTATCATTAAACAATTGGAAAAATCTATGTTGGATTCGTAAAAGATATTAAAACTATTCTAGTCATCAATAAAAGTCGAAATAGAAATGTAAGAAAGCAGAACCTACGTGCCAGTGTTGTCATTTCGTGTTCAGTGATGTGTACAAATCGAACACACCTTCTAAAAAATAAACATAAACAATAATAGTGCTCGAGCCCATTTTTGCGAACACAGATGTTTGGTGTAAGGTAATGAAAGATACCGTTGTCGTTGACTATACAGAATTGCCATTTTGGTTCAATTCATTAAAGTGAAGTTTTTTTTTATTACAAAATAGAAAATGAACAAATTGGCACTGTAAGTTTGTCTCTGCACCTATAAACACATATGGTCAGAGACAATACTTTTTGTAACCTTTTGTTTGATTGATACTTTCTGCATTCATGACTCTTAATGCTTTAAGGTACAATGTATTGTTATTGATGGTTTAGCTTTATTCATAACACTGTGAACATACGTCTTCTACGTAAATGTTTATTGCAGACAAATGGTCTTTTCTTTTTAAAACCAAAAGAGAAGAACAAAAACAATTACACTTCACACACCAGTTTCTAGTTCCGAGTGGGAGTAATTGGATTAGGTCAACAAGTCCTATAACAGGTGCGTTCTATTTTCCAAAATAGTGGAATACATTAATACCTGTCTTTATATGTAAACAGGAAATTAATATTGTGAAAATTTTCTTTTGTTGATAGGAAAAAAGGTTTTATTGTCAGTGAGAATTAATGATCCAGATGCTATAATATCACTGGATTCCATCAGAATTGGCAACCTCAAACAGGCACTACATAAACTTAAAAGAGGTCGCATGTCTGGAGTATATTCTACATTTATATCAGACTTCCCAAAAGTAAGCGTATTTCAATCCAATTCCTTCTCTTGAGTTTTGAAAAAAGATAAGCTGCCAAGGAAACTTATTGCTAATTTTGCTATATTAATGAAAAGCTTTCTGATTCACAGATCCAAGGCTTAGACGTCTTCGTTCAGGGGATGACCAAAGATGGACTAATTTTTCAAAATAAATCACAGGAAATATAATTTAATTTGATAAACTGCTTTGTCATTCTGAATAATATTCCGTCCAACAGAATGATTTATTCCACTTCATTCAAGAATAGACATTGTATATTTTATATGACCACTTACAAGGAGGATGAAAAATTTTGTTCTTATTATTTATGATGCTTTCTATTTATAAATAAAATTTGCAATTCCAGTCATTTCGATGATGTTCTTTCGCAAGACTTGGAGAGACGTAACTTTTCAAATCCCAAAATCTTCATAGATGTTAAGAGATAAATACTGCACAAGTCACATACTAATGTAAAGTGTTAATTGGATCCATTCAATCATTATTCAAGGTCTCTTGCCTGAAATTGAACGAATATTGGACGTAATTAAATATGGTGATAACGAACAAGCTCAAAAGTTTATTGAAAAAATACAGATCGGGTGCAGAGCAAACACGGACCTCTAAAACATCAGAGGTGGGATCAGGTGCTATGGAGGAGTTAGCATCCTCTGCCGACCGGTCACATCCGCCGTGTGAAGAAGATCTTAAGATTTGCAAAATCATTTTCTGGCGCAATCTTATGTACGATGTAAATTACATAACAGGAATTTATTTACATCTGATTATTTTAAACTGAGATTAGTGTTGAAGTGAGGCGTGTCTTTTCAAGGATCATATTAAGATGTATATATTCTTAAACTGATAATTACTGACGAAAGGCATACAGCATAACATGTCGACATTCATCAAGAAACCTAATTTACATCTTCCAAACTATACATGCCTGAAGTCATTAATGATTATTGTGTCGCTGTTCTTAAGAGAACAGTCGTGTCGTTTTGTGATATTTATTATTTGAACGGCTGTCTAAAATAAGGTATGTACAAAATGTCTCCACACATTTTTCAGCCATATCTGTATAGGTAGCTGCTCAGTGTATGATGGTGATACACATGTCAATATCGTCATCAGGACGGATTACTTATTTTGAATAATGTACTTGTACCAACAATTATGCTAAGAATGAAATAACATTTCTTTTAAAATCGGTTTTTAACATGCGATTTGTTTTTATATATTGGAGGGTTTTTGTTACTGTTGATGTACAAGAGACTTTTCATGCCAAGATTTCTGTTAGCTTATCAATACCTATATTTATACTCTGAACATTTCCAATGCAATAGGATAATGCATGGTAGTGAAGCTAAAAATATCAAATTTAACAATACAAATTGAGAGCAGAGCAAACAAGGGCCCTGAAAACGTAAAAAAATGGATCAGGTGCCAAGGATCAAAGTATATGGGTCGCCCATGTGGCGCAGTGGTTAGAGCGTATGCTCTAGAGTCGCGGAGTAAGGAGTTGATCCTTATGTCGCGGGTTCAAATCCCACTGCGGGACGTGGAGACCGGTCCTTCGGATGAGACCGTATAAACCGAGGTCCCGTGTCACAGTAGGTGCTGGCACGATAAAGATCCCTATCTACTCAATAGCCCTGAGTGCCGAGTATAGGTCAAAATTTGTAGCCCTCCACCGGCAAGTGGTGGCGTCTCCATATAAGTGAAATATTCTCGAGAGGGACGTTAAACAACAATCAATCAATCAAGGAGTATGTATTCCTTGTCGACAGATCATACCGACCTTGAGTCCTTTGTCTTGATCTTATAAACGGAGTACTTCTAGCCAAATCAGTCAACATTCAAGTAACGACAGGTTATATTTGCAAATAATTTCATTGTAATGACTGAAATTGGAGAAGGGATGAATTTGAACGACAATGTTAATAACCTTGTAACATCAATATCTTTGATAGTAGTCTGCCTCAGTTTAGAAGTTGAATCGTACGCAGAACATGCATGCTCTTGTGTATCGCACCAACTAAGAGACATTCATGCATGACATTCTTAAGAGACTACCCTACCTATAATGTATTCGTAAACTTCATAAAAATCCCTACAATCAAATATCTATTGCCGGGTCAAGCAAATGCTCTACCGAGTCCCTATTTTTACTCCTTACAAAAATATGTTGTAAAGATAAACTTCAGACGTACTGTGGTATAGCATGCTCTAGAAGTGTATCAGATGGGGATTCTCAAAAAACTCCTTAAAAATGGGCTTTTTTTTTTTTTAATTTTATCATAGATAACTGCTTCTTCAATATAAATGGAACTCAAAAATTTTCACATCTAGTGATTTGTCTTCAACAAAATTACTTTGTTAAAAATCACACTGTTTCTACACACAAGCAGGATGAAGTTGATATTAAAAGGATGCTGCTGGAGTTCCTCCTTGACAACATTTATGTAGTCTTTGGAGACCAGGTCTTCCAACAAAATGTTGGAATTTTGTTAGGCACTAATTGTGCTCCTTTATTAGCCGACCTGTTTTTATATTCCTATGAAGCAGAATTTATTCAAAAATTTCTACTTGAGAAAAAGAAAACACTTGCTGTGGCCTTCAACTCGACATTCAGATGTATTGACTCACGGCGGGTGTGACCGGTCAACAGGGGATGCTTTTTCCTCCTATGCACCTGATCTCACCTCTGGAATTTGGAGGGGTCCGTGTTGAATGCCCTGTACACATTTTTAATTTATCAATGAATGATAGTTATTTCAATTTATATGTCGACTCGATATATTAAGCATCCCCTGTTGACCGGTCACAACTGCCGTGTGCCCTATGTATTGGTCATGTAGACGGAATTTTACGCAGTCAAATTCAGTATAAAACAAAGGCCCAACAATTGGTATGAAGTGTTTGACAAATGAGATGACTTCAGCTTTTTCATCATCAACTTTCCCTATTTATTCAGTAATATACCGTTCTGCCCTGCACATAGGGTTTATGTCTCCCAATGCATTCGAGCATGCTCCGAGTCCAATCAATTTTTAAACGGAGGCAGACTACTGACAGATAAGTTGATGTTACAAAGATTTGAACAACCTCGTTTATTTATAGTCAGCATTTCGTAAATTCTATGGTCGTTATAATGACTTAGCAAATATAGCCGATCATTGGGTCGTACATTTTTTTCGTATTTTTTATACCAACTGTTAAGCCTTTGTTTTAATACTAAATTTGACTACGGCTACGGAATATTTCGTCTACCCGATCAATACTTAGTGCTCAAGGCGGGTGTGAATGGTCGACAAGGAATGATTACTCCTCCCAGGCACTGATTCCACCTCTGGAATTTCCGGGGGTCCGTGTTCTGAGATTTGAGTTGGAAATAAGGAATCAAAGTGTGAGTGAAAATGAATATTGCTGATTGATAAAATGCCGTAGATATACATGTATCTGAATATTGAATTGAAGGCAACATCAAGAACATGCTAGAGAGAGTCAGTTATACTTGTTCAAAATAGAATTTTATATACTTACGAATAATTTTGCATCTTTATTAGATACACTGAAATGCATCCAGAAGATTTTCATAATTAAATTCAAGAATCTTTCTATATTTTCTATTTCTAAAGTTAGCGTGCATAATTATTATGAATTATGATAAAATTGAAACAAACTGCAGGATTCTAGTAGTATTATGTTAAAATATATACAGAACAATTTATTAAAGGTTATAAATATGGTTTTAGGTCTATATGCATACTTCTTTTCAAAAATACCGATGCAATGTCAGTGTTTACCAACTCTAGAGAGGGACGTTAAATTATGATGAATTAATGACTATTTATTCAGGCTAAAAGATGTGTGTATGGGTTATTTGATTTTGTAAACTTAAATTTCACTATTGAACTGCCCCCCGGAACTATACGAAGTGTTCAACATTCAATGGAAATGAACCAGTCTAATAAGCATTATATCCCCATTTTATACTTAAAGCATATTCTTAAAAACGACTGATTAATTAAAAGCTTTCAAAGCATGACAGGAAAATGCATATTTGTGCATTTTTAATTTCAACTCACGAAAGAGCCGGAAAACTGGTTTTAAAAAATAAAGCAAATAAATAAAACCGGTGTTCATTTAAACGTCTTTCAAAACAATCACACTGAGATAGGACTTAGTAAATATTATTGTTATACCTTTAAAAATGGGTTCCTTGTAAATCTATACTCAAAACGTCCAACATTTTCAATGTTTTACTGAGCGGTCATAAACATTTCGATGTTTGACCGCAGAGTGAGATTTTGGGCATGTCGATGAGATATTGCACCGCTTACGTCACACTGTGGCCTGGGTGGGATCTGCTTCTTCTAATTTACATTCGCTGGAGTTCGACAGTGACAAAATTGACCGATTTTTACCGCAGTGCGGGCAAAGGAAATATACATCTTGGAAACCAGCACGATACATGTTTGTCAAAAATAAATAAATAAAAGGTATAACAAAACATTTATTGACTGTCTTCTCGGCAAAATGCGTTTTGTCGATCCCTCGAACTAAACTGTTTGCCTGAGGCCGTCAGGCCGAAGGCAATCAGTTTGGTTCTTGGATCCGACAAAACGCATGTTGCCTTCGAACCCTTTCAATAAATGTATATTACTAACACCTATATAAGTGCATAGACGCGAACAGCTGACGGTACTCTAGGATATCTAATGATATTCACAATATCAAAGAGTATGTTAGAATCATGTGGAACATCTCTCTGCTTATCAACAAACTGAACAATAACATGGTGAATGATTGTTCAGTTTATCAGAGTGTTTATAGAATTAAACATATTATTTGATAGAGCAAATGTTCACCAAAAACATTCTTATAGGTGAGGTAAGAGAAACTCTCCTAAAACATATTTCCGATTGGTTCCACCTGATTGCGATCACCCTGAGAAAATATGGTTCAAGTAAATGATATAAAATACTGGTATTTTCTTTTCAGATAAGGAAAAAAGATGCTTAATTCAAAATACTTGCCTATATTTGCTTTATATATTCTTTACAACCTCGTAAATGTGAGCTCAGCACCATTAGCAGAGACAAGAGGTTCTATTGTACCTATTCGGGTGGAGGAGAAAGATGGCAAATTGGATCTTACTCTGGATGTACGCCTAAATGTAAAGGAGGATAACTCTACCCCTTCTCCTGTGCCAAACTTAAATGGCATCAATCTTAAACTTCTGTGTACCTATGTGAAAAATTTGTAAGTGGTGGAAAATGATTTTTCCCAGTTCTCAAATAGAAACATATTGACATAATTTCATATTTTACATTTTCATAAGTCTTAAGCGTTTATAAAATACTCTTAATATTATAGCTGCAGAACTGTAGCTCGATCTCTGCTTGAGAAAATTCGGACAAATAAAGCAGAGAACTACATATCTAAGTGTTGTTAAATATATGGTTAGTTATCGGATACTGTTCTTAAAGCAGGGGAAAGCATAAACTACAAGAAATAATACCCAAAGTGAGCGACAAAAATCGAAGTTTTTTTTAATTTTACATCGCTTGGATCTGTAGCTCTCTGCTTTACCTGTCCGAATTTTCTCAAGCACAGAGCAACAGTTCTGCAGCTATTAATATTAATACTAACTAAGGTATAAACGCTTATAACGCAGTGCCAGGAACGGACGATTTTGCTTCGCTATAAACGTAATTCTTAATATCAATATGATTCAAAACCACGGGCAATAAAAACCACTTCGCTGAAAAGGTCACTTCATTATAAAAGTTTACCTTAAAAGCGTGTTTTACTGTATGACTAAGTAGAGTTGTTTGTTAACACAACCATGTTAAAGAGTAACACATTTGAATTATTAGAATATATCAATTTTATTGCAGATGTCAAAACCAGTATGACAGCTGGGGAAAGAGAAGATAAGAATTCCTGCTATTTGTTGCCTCGAATGTTACTGTTGTTATTATGTAATTGCCTTAATACACCATTAAATATGAAAACTCTGACTTTCAAATTAATAATATCTCACCCACAGGATGGATATTGACAGGCTATGTCACGGTGTGCCATTAATGAAACATTGCTTAAAGCTAAAATACTGTCCAAAACGGCAGATGTGTGTTTATTAATAACAATTTAGTCCCCCGCTATCGGTGTCTTATTGGTTGGGATGCAGTTATTTATGGCATAATGTAACTGTCTTGTTTGTGTGCCCTGTCTTGTCTGTGCATCATATAAAAAAATATATAATTTATTGAATTAATTATAAAAACCTAAAGTCTCCTCCGGTTTCACCGGTAGGGGACTAATAACAGTTATGGTAAAGCTTAAAGCTTCTCAAAACAGCTTCAAACCTCAAGATCAAGAGGTCAAATATCATAATACAATCTGAAAAGTCGTATCACAAGTAATAGACATGTGAAAAAGTATGAAAGCCTTGTCTCTTCTAGAGCAAAAGTTATGGCCAAAGTGAAAAGTTTCGATAAGTAGGTCAAGAAGTCGAGCATGATGTACCTTTCTGAAAAGTGTTGTCATGGATATTTTACACGTAAAATTATGAAAGCCCCATTTTGTCTCATTCAACAGTTATTACATATGTTCAATTAATGTTAAAAGACTGTAGGTCAAACTTTAAAGTAAAGGTCATGAGGTCAAAAAACAGAAAACATTCGGAAAGGTCTTGAAACAGGTCACATCACACATCAAATATAAATGCCCTATCTTCTCTCAGTAGACGTACATTTTTTCCAGTGGGATTAATTTACGCTATGTACGCGGACACATAATTTCCGCGGACCTAGAGTGTTTTAATACACACTCAATGGCAATCGAAGCAATGCGCGTAATTTTCTACCCGCGGATTGAACAGAAATTGTTATTCCGCGGAATTATGACCCCGTGGAAAAAGTACGTTTAGTAGTTTTTTTTTGAAAATTACGTAAAATTCAAGGCCATGGGGTCAAATCTTATATCGTATTCGAAAACCTTTTGCAACAGGTATTGCACTTGTCAAATATGAATGCTCTGTCACTCTCATTCAAAATGTATCATCAATGTTAAAATTTTGAAAATTAGGTCACATTGACGGGAAGGTGACGTCAAAAATCAGAGCATGCTCAAAAAAGCCTTTCACAGGTAATGCATATGTCAAATATGAAAGCCCTATCTCTACTCATTCAAAAATTATTATAAATATTGATACAATTTTTGAACAGTAGGTCAAAATTCAAGGTAATGGGATCGAAAATCATGGTATTCTTGAAAAGGTCGTGTCACAGGTAATGTAAGACTGTTTTAGTCTGATGTAGGCAAAAATACAATGACACTGTGTGACGTCATCCATATGCTCGTTCCCGACGTCAGAGCTGTAATGGTAAAAGGGACAGCCGAGACTGCAAAACTTCTGGTTGAACATATTGTTTGACTTTTTAAGAATGTCATTCCTACAGATAATGTTTTCTTTTAAGAAGGACTGTTTTTGTCTTTATGTCTGCTTGCCTTTCCAACCACAATCAAACAAGAACATAACTCCTCTTTAAATAATAAAAATGTTCATTTATTGAAATATGCAATAGATGACAGTGAATCAAAAGCACAGTATAAAAACATGTACAAAGGTCACTATAAAAGTTATATACATCAACATCAAAAGTTAAGAGACAAATAAAATCAAGTTTGTACCTGAGAGCAACAACGAGTTACATCAAATGACTAGATACAATTTGGCATGATTGACATAAAATATATAACCAAATGGGTCTCAAGAATGGTGTCAATCTGTGTTCTCGGGCAAAATGCGTTTTGTCGACCCCTCGCAGGCGCGGATCCAGGAATTGAAGTTAGGGGGGCGCAAAAAGTAGGCAAGGGGTCTGGGGCCGCCTTGAGGCTACCGAGTAGACATTTTTACATTTCCTCTACTAAACTATGATTTACACTAACTTTTACAATTTGGGGGGGGGGGGGGGGAGGGGGCGGGGGCGCTCCCCTTAAATATGCCACTGCCTCGAACCAAACTGTTTGCCGAACAGTTTGGTTCTTGGGTCCGACAAAACGCACGTTGCCCTCGAACCCAGTCAATAAATGTATAATGTCTGTCACGCAAACGTTATCATGAAATTGTGGGGACAGTATCCTCTTATGTACAGTGCATTTTGACCTCTTGACCTTTAACTTTTTGACATCAGAATTAAAATATTATATGAGATAATATATCTTAGGTGGTACCTCTGTATCGAGATTGATGTGAAACTGTTCTCAAGATATTGATCCGACAACACTAGCTCTTCCGACATACTGACCAATAAACAGATACAAACCAATGTTTTCTTCAGAGACGAGGAGAGACGTAAATTATTGTTATGTATATGGGCATGTTTGAAACCAATTTTTATTATTTTTAAGTAAATCTAGGCTGCAATAACAACATTTAGAAAATCAATATTTAGGTTTCATTGTATATAAACGATAATTTTGACGTCAGTGTTTACATTTATGATATTACTTATGCACGCTTCCTTGGAAATTTGCATATATGTCTTAATAGTATGCAAAAATTGTTTGCCCACTTTCATTTTTAATTATATATGATACGCCTTACCATGTATTCCTCTAAATGGAGTGGTTAAGGTGGACTCTTAAACCACAGAGATAATTCGTACACAAGGAATTGTTGAAACTCATCACAACTAATTTGCATAACCGCAACCTTTCTGCCTGAAGTCATTAACGATTATTATGTGGTAGTTATAAAGAGAATCCTGTAAATGCTGTTTTAAAGTAAAAATCAACAACCGTCAAAATACAAGGTATGTTTAACATTTATCTATGTATTCTAGTCATGATCCTTAGTAAAATGTATATATCATTGTACAAAACCAAATACATTTTTCATTCATAACAACATATTAAACCTATATAAAAAATAAAGTTTTGTAATGGTTTGTATAAAAAATTTAAGAATAAATTAAATAGGGTTTTCACTTTGGAATTTTTTTTAAAATCACTACACTGTAGATTTTTATTTTAAAAAGCCTATATTAATGTTATAGCGAGCGCAGCGAGCGGCGCGAAGCGCCGCTCGTCACTGCGAGCTCTAACGACAACGCCTGGGCGAAGAGAAAATTCGGACTACTGCACATTCATTCAATAGAATTTTTTTTCCGCAGTAATTCTGACCCACAATGCATCGCTTCTTGTTCTCGCTGCTAACTTCGTTCACGCGGTGACACAACTAAAATTTCACAAAAAAATAAACTCACCTTAATTTAATGGCTATTGCATGCAGATAGTAGATTAAACATTCTTTGTTAAAATATTTGCACTTTTTAAACTTTGTTTATGGAAATGCAGCTAACATACGACGTCATGTGACGTCACAGTCTAGACGTTCCAAATGTCTCGTGTGGTTTGAAGAGGCGGATCTTAAAATGAAGTGAACAATGCGCTCGCCCCAACGGTCGCACCGTCAATATATTAAAAACGCATTATGAAGATCAACCTGTTTTTAAGTGTGCTATTACAAAAATCCGGCCTAAAGGTTTAACAGGTAATTTATTTAGCATGGGTCACGGCTTCGCATATTGTTTCTGAAATAGCCTGCAAAGTTTAATTAATTCCTCTGCATGGATTTCTTAAAACAGTTTCGTTGTGGTAGTGTAAAACTCCTATGAGTAAAGAGAATTGAGGGTAATTTTCTGTTTAATAATTCATAAGAAAACATATCTTTGTAAAATTGAATTTGTAGCTAAAATGCAAACACCTTCAAAAGCACAAATTAATTTATTGTTCTTCTTAATTAATATTATATGTGATTTTTAAAAAGTAAATACATGTTAGGTTTGTTATAGTTATTATCTTGCTTTAGTTAATATTTCTAATTGAGTGACATAGTATTCATTAATAAGACCAATAAAACGGATAAAACTTCCAGGAGTTCCAATAACAAACTGCATCAGTAATGTAGTATTCTCCAATGGCTCTCAGGGGCATGAAGAAGTTGCTATTTGAACATTCACGTTTCTTAAACATAGCTTTTCCGAATGTCTTTTCAAAGTTCCATGCAAGAATCACTATTGTGTCAATTTTCACATTTAATCATTTTTCTGAAGAAGATTTACTTCGATGTCCATAGGTAACGCCCATCACTTTAACAATGCACTAGAAATATGAGTTAATAGAAAATCCTTACTACGAGTATGAAAAAATTGAAATTCACAAGTCGCAATTGACTTGTTTTGAACATTCTAATAAGGCTAAGGTTGACTTAAGCTGTAGTTTTATTTTGTTGACGAGGAAGTGTGAAATCTTTTTTAGCATTCTTTCCTTATATTTATTTTAATTCTTGCCAATTTCTGTAACATTGATAATCATCAAGTGTATCCAAAATTCATTGTTTTATATATATATATAATTTAAATTGTATATTTTAGTTCTATCCGGATCAGAAACAAGAGGATGTTGGATTCCAAATACTTTGCTATATTTGTATTAAACATTATGATAAACAATATTTTTGGAAGTGTAATCCCAACTGTTGGAACCGAGACATTAACGAATTCCACAAATACATCACAAGTTCACTTGGGGGATAATGTTCTGGGTCAAGCTCTGGACATTAACATTAATGTTGAGGCAAAGATTAAAGAGCCTGTCACCGCTAGTCTGGATTTAAGTAAAGTCAATCTAAAAGTGCTTTGTTCGATTTTCAAAGATTTGTAAGTACATTTCTATTTGTATGTTTTTATCTTTCATTAAATTTTTTGCCTACTGGTATAATATGTATCTTGATTTTGAGGAAAAGCATTTTTTGTTACCAGTGAATTACCCAAAATCATTTGATTATTCATTTTTTTTTTCAGATGTCAAAACCAGTATGACAGTTGGGGTGGATAAAGAAACAGAAGAAGAATTTTATGTTGATGTATGTAAAAATTTAAAAAAAAAAAAAGGAAAGAAAACAATAAACAAATTATCGCATTTAAAATGATAGAGTTTTATATTGATAACTGGCCAAAAGGAGGCACAATGACATACTGATTTGTAATACTGAAGACTTTTTTGCCAAAGGCTCGAAGAAAAGTATGTCTATAACAACAGCTGCTTCTTATTTCTTGCGGTGTTGTGTACTTGTATCATCATTAATATTACGTACTACCGAAAGATTCGCCATCTTGACTTTGTTTCTTTTAAATGATTTATTGTTATCGTTTATGCATTTGTCATTCAATGTAATAATGAATGTTGTTCCAATTTGTCTTCAAACAATACGTGACATTACTTAAATACAAGATATCGTTATTATTTATTCGTTATAACTTAAGTTATATCTAAATTGAATGTAAAGAAATTGATTTGAGCAGAATTATGAACGTTTTGTTTTTGGAAGTTAATTTCTACTAAGTAGCAAATTACTGAAAAAATCGAAACAAAATATAAATGGCAACTTCTACCATGGTTGGATAACGTTAACAAAAAGCAATCATTTAACAATACAACAATGAAATAAAAAATATAAAATCATTTCTAAATGAACGAGTCATTGAACAATAGTCAAGTTGAAAAATACTACTTAACCATGCCAGGTCACTGTAAAACACAATCTAGAAGCTGAAAAGCACAGCTTTGACCCCGAAAAACACTGCGTAAATTAAAACATATATTACTTGTATAAATGAGAAAATTCAATATCGCAAATAAAATCGGCGGTGAAAAAAAAATGGATGGGTTGCTTATCAATTCAACACGTAATTTACATAACCATCTACATTGCAATGAATTATCAATCTCTTCCAGAAAGCTGACTATCTCAGTTATTCTGCGAAAAATTTTTTATCAAATTAACATAATACTGTTCGTTATCTCCATATTTCATTTCAATAAACAATTTTAAAGGCCCATTGTACTTTTGACAATATCAAACCCGGATATGCATTGGTTCTCAGTAGTATTTAATTATTACCAAGTGTCAGCAATGACTTGACATAAAAATATCAATATAATTTTTATTAAATACTGCAATTAACTTTTTGTATAGATGTCAAATAATGTAAAGAAGTAAAACATGTTTTAATCTCTCGGGGAGGACCAAGTCAAGTGGTCCACGATCAAAAAATCTTTTTATCCCTTCAATGATTAGTGATCCTTACATACCTGTATGAATTACGAAGTCGTTTACAATAGATATATATTTTTGTTTTTCTAAATGAACGAAAAAAGCAAAACTGGACTTAAAAAATTGCACATTGTATTGGTACATGTAGTATAAGCAAAATTTTAAGGCAAATTCGATTAGTATTAGCAACATACGATACAAACTGAGTAACTGACGATCAAACTTAGTAAGAATAAACTTAGATGAAAGAGATGAAAAAATCCATTTACAGTATCTATTGTTGATACGACCTTTTTCTGAAGCTTTTTTGGCTTAATTCAATTATAAAGCTACACAATCTTTAATGCTTAAAAAATACACACTGAAATATTCTGTTTAGTTATTTCAATTCATGGAAGTGTATATTTTGCTAATTTTTCTTTTGACACGTAACCGCTACTGATAACGATCATTGATCAGCCTCTGAATTTGTATAAATAACACATATCGAAAACAGAAAGCCAAAACGGACTCGTGGAAACATCAAAGATAGGGTCAAATGTCTTAGAAGTAAATGTACGTCTTTCTACTGGACACACTTACCGAGTGCTCTCTGTACTAATAAGATAAAGGGAGTAAATTTAGTATGAAACGAAAAAAAGCTGAAGATAACGAACATTGATCGATTTCAAAAAAAAATCTACAAACAATACAAATCTGTGAAAGGGGCATAAAACAGGGAACCCCGGAAATATATCTAAATGTCGAGTATAAGGCCACAGCAAGATTTTTTTTTATCATGTAGAAGTTTCTGAATAAATTCTGCTTCATAGAAATATAAAATCAGATCAGCTTATGAAGGGGCACAATGTGTCCATCGGAATTCCGTGTATGCTCTGCTCCAAATTTATACTGGTGCTATGGACCTTTGAGCTTGATTACTGTTCGTTCGTGGTAGATGTGGTAGTAAAACTGAGTTCTTCTAAAATGCAGTTGGAATAATGAACCTTACAAAAACAAAGAATATATCATTACAAGCTTTAGCAGCTGGAACCAAATAATATTAGTCATGTAATCTTACTAATTCTTTTAGCACTTCCGGTCAACTGAAAACGGAAGGGTAGATAGTTCACATTTTGTACTCTAAATTTCTAATGCGAATCTTTAATATATTTCTAAAAAGCTTTATCCATTCTGACAGAGTATCAAGGCCTTCCTTTAGCCCATCGTCTAGCATACTCCTTGACTGATGAGTTCATAATAAAATGAAGTTCTGCCACCATTTGAAAGACGTGGGCTCACTGAATGCAGGACCTTTAAAAATGATAGCTTTTAAAACTCTTAGAAGGACTTTGTTTTAGACGGTCAATATCTATGCACTGTAGAGTTTGTTTATAATTGAAAATGTGAATAATTGAAACGGTTGAAGAATAAATGTAGGAAATGCAAGGTGAAGACTTCAACTTCAAGATCATGTGTTGGGCAACATCCATAATCATAAATACTAACTGTATTCTGCTGTTGAAAAATCCAAGGATCGACTTGCTATAGCTTCCTAATAATAATAATAATAAGTTTTAAAGGCACAGAGTAAAGTTTATTGCAAATGTGATTTAAATCCAAATTGTTTATTGACAAAAGGTAATAGCGAATGAAATGAAACATCGTGTATATTTTGCTTATTTTAAGAATGATGACCATGACTGTGCTTACGTCTGTGCGTTCTATTAAAAAGTCCAATCATATTCAAATTGGTACACTGCCGGCTTGAAAGACTTCCTATATAATTGATGTATTCATGTATCAAGGGGAATAAAACATTGAGGTAATCTTGATACTCTCCAAATGCCCTTACGACATATTAAGATTTTTCTAATTGTAAACAGTTTTGCATTCAACAAGAATGATTTAATTTTACCTAATTTTATAAGTGGTAGCCTCTGCAATACTTTCAGAAACCTTATGCTACATACAACTAATTATGAGAGGTCCTCATGTAATGAGCTTTCAGTATTTTTGTATAGGCTATGACCTAAAAGTATGTGCTTTTCTTTCTTTAATTAATTTTGACCTTGTTTGAGTGTCGTGCAATCATAATACCCTTGCAATAGTAATTTCCTCATGTGTTTCAGACAGAATCGCCAAATTTCTTTTCTTAGATATTCATATGTAGACAATAAATAAATATGAAATGCACAATTTTCATCGGATGATCTTGAGATGTAGATAATGTATATGTTTCTCGCATAAAGAAGAAAATTTTATTTCTTTCCCAAAGATGAAGACCCAGAAAATATCAGTTTTCATTTCTCATAACATTGGACAGTCTACATGATCTATGAGTAATGATCTTCACTACTCCTCAGGTCATATTCTTTCTTAGCTTTGTAATAAATCACTAAAATTATTCATTCAATGTTTTTGTCTCGTATATCTTTCTTGCTGTAGAGGTTATATGGTAAAAGATGAAGATAACGAACAATCATCAATCTTATAAATCCAGAAAATAAAAAGAATCGTTAACAGGCAAAAATACGGACCTCTAGAATACCAGAGGTGGGATCAAGTGCCTAGGAAGAGTAAGAATCCCCTGTCTACCGGTCACACTCACCGTGAGCCCTATGTATTGATTAATCAATTAGATGGAGTAATCCGAAGCCAAATTAAGTATAAGAACAAAGGATTCACAATTAGTATGAAATATGACAATCAAATGCGACCCAATGATAGGTTATATTTGCTGCAGATATAGCTGCTTTTTCAATAAAAATGGAACTCGTTAATTTACTTAACTTGTCATTAGTCACTTGCAAAATTATTTTGTTAAAAAACATTCTGATTGCATACACAAGTACTCTGATGTGTGATATTCAAAATCTTATACATGAGAAGAAGAAAACACTTGTTGTGGCCTTCAACTCGACATTTAGAAATGTATTTAGATATGTATTATCAATCAACAATAGTTATATTTCCATTCATATGTCTACACGATATATTCCAGTGAGCTTGAAATAAAAGATACCTCAGAGTCTGACACATTTGTTACATATTTGGATATTTTACTAGAAAAAGACATTAATGGTAACCTAACAACTAACCTGTATGATAAACGTAATGACTTGAACTTTTCAATCGTCAACTTCCAATACTTATGCAGCAATATACCATAATCACCTGCATACGGGGTTTATATTTCCCAGTTGATTCGATTTGTGTGTGTAAAAATACTCTCATCTAATTGGTATTTGTTTTTGAATCATTAGAATATTGACTATTTATAATTTGAAAAAATGCCAAACTGCATTTAATGTAAAACAATTTATCCTATGTACGAATAATTTCTTAAACGAGACAGCTATTTATAAACAATAAAGCAGGGGTATGAACAGTTCGTTTGAAGTCAACATTTTGAAAATTCTATGGTTCAATACAACGACCTAGTCAGCAAATACAATCTATCATTTAGTCGAATACCGACTGGCTTTTTTTCATACAAATTCTTAGGCCATTAATTGTTGTTCTAAATTTGTATGTTTCAACTTTTAAGCTTGTTTACTGTTTGTTATCTCCATATTTCATTGAAAGAAAGAAAGAAAATTGTGATGTTAATAAAAACCTCCAGGAAGCTTTTTTTTTTTTTTTTTTTTTTTTTTTTTTTAAACTAGCACATCAACATAAAGAACAATCAACAACCGAGCCCCTAATTGAAAGATAAATCTGATGTCACTCTGTTGTTTACATTTGTGATATATCTCTTATGCACTCTTCAAAGGAAATTTGTCTACAATAAATATCTAAATTATATGAATAAATTGTTTATACACTATCAAGTAATTATATAATTTAACCATGTATTCCTCTCAAGGGAATAGTTAACATGGACTCTTTCTTGACTTTATAAACCGTAGAGAGAGTTCGTATACAACGAGTTGTTGAAACTCACCATAACTAATTTGCATAACCACAACCTTTCTGTCTGAGGTCATTAATGATGATGTGGAAGTTATGAAGAGAATCCTGTGGATGATAATTTAAAGTGAACCATCCAAAACTGTCATATTATAAGGTATGCTTTACATTATTCTATTGTTTTTTGGACATGATCCATACATAAGTAAAATGCATCTGTTTTTATATATTATGAAAACATTTCTCATTAAATGAACTAAACTGTAAATATACCAAATAGTATGACTTTGAAATGGGTGTATATATGATTGATAAGAACGTATTAAAATGGGTTTTTCTTTAATCAAAGCTAGATGTTTATTTTTCAAAGTCTTGATTAATCATATATAAAGTTGTAAAGATTTTAAATGTGCAATTAAAAAATCAGGTTTAATAGCCTACAGGTAATTTATTAAGCGAGGGACAAGGCTTATAAATCCCAGGATTTATGTTCGTAATTAATTTGTCTGCATGGATTTTGCACAGCAGTTTATATGTGGGAATGTAGAATTCCTAAGCACAGAGACTGTAGGTAATTGAATTTTAGTTCTAAAAAAGTAAAACGTGGATGTATTTTAAGAGCACAAATTAATAATGAATTGTTCTTTCAATTTGTTTATGGTGATTATATGTTAATTTTAGGAAGAATATATATTATATTAGGCCTTTTTTTCTCTCGAAATATGGTTGAAATATTGCCGACTCGGCGTTAAACAATAATTATCAATCAATCAATCCTGCTTTGTTAATATCTCCCATTCCCCCAAAATTAGATCTATATATAATATTCATTGACTTTATTTTTTGTGGAATCTCATTTGAAAATGTAATCGTAAAATGTTTTTCATATTCTTTAGGTCTTCTAAAATATTGCGTATGGGAAAAAACTAAGGTTAAATATGTATTTTAAAAAAATTTGCACTTTGAAGTAAATAGTGTTTATTAATATGATTGATAGAAAGATAACACTGTTACAGTGTTCAGAGAAACAACATACATCAGTTATGTAGTTTTTATCATTTGTACTGATTTGTATTACCATGTAACCGTGATTACACGTAGAATTTAGCAGATTCTTTTTTTGACATACGTGTTCTCACCCGTATGCATTGTAAAAGTTTTGTAGAAGAATCATAATGAAGTCAATTTACTTTAAATCATTGACATTGTTCCAAAGTCTGGAAGTGGCCCGTTACTTGAACAATGCACTCAGAATACTTGTAACTTGCGTGAATGCACACTGCTACCCTACAAAATTAAAAAAAGCATGCTCTAAGTACGATCAACTTTTAAACCGAGGCAGGCTACTGATAGATTAGTGGATGTTACGTGGATTTCAGTAACTTCGTTTTAAGTCGTAAATACTATGGTCGTTATAATGACCTTTTAAACAAATATTATTGGGCTATTGGAGTTATTTTAGTCAATATTTGTACGAGATAGCTGAACAAATGCACGAGCTTGCGAATGCATTTGTACAACCAACTCGTACCAATATTTACCAAAATAAGTTCAATAAATACTATATTGTATACCTAAAACATATTCCATTGATTTATATTGATTGTTTAATTTAAAAAACTCAAAATTAAAGAGAATATTTCATTATCGGTAATTCGGTATTTAAATTAAAACTGTGCAATATCAGCGTTTGTCCTGTGAGTGTTCAATATATTTACTTAATTTCTATGACCCTTCCAAGTGTTATAAGTTGCTTATTGAGGTTTTTATTGAGGCTAATAGGTAGCAAATTATTAATCAATAATTTCAAATTTCTGTGAAAATAGACACATCTTACGTAGCAGCCACTACCCATAATAAATATTGCAGCTGAACATGATCAGACCACATCATTTGTTTACAACGGGGTCGTTGATACTGAACGCTCGCATTCGGAATATTTCGGGGCATACGCAAATACATAATGCCAGCTAAGCCGTTCAATTAAACGCCAAGATGCTTGTCAAACGCTAAGATTTTCAAGACTTTTAGTATTTTTTTTATAAAGACTATTTATTAGCTATATAATATTTTTTTATTGATTTATATTGTGACTTACATACTTCATGCTAATCATTAGGCCTTTGTTTTTATAAATAAAATTAAATATGACAATGGAATATTCCCTCTACCTGCTCAATACAAAGGGCGGGTGTGACCGGTCAACAGGTGATGCTTACTTCTCTAAGACACCTGATCCAAACTCTGGAATTTCCAGGGTTCCGTGTTCCATGCCCTGTTCACAAATTTGTATTTCTTCGATCACAGTTTTCACTGAATTCCAAAATATAGGCCCCAAGATTGAAGGAAAAATGTAAAATTCTACCTATTAAGGCCAAGAATTTTAAAACATCCCATCATTTAACTTTTTATTTATTTTGATCCTTGTTGAAACACTTAACATAAATAATTATATAATGCAATTAAATAGCTATATTTTATAATGTAGACACATATGTATTTCAGTTCTTTTGAGTTCAGAAACAAGAGGATGGTAGATTCCAAATACATCGCATTATTTGCATTCTACATTATAATAAATAATATCTATGGAAGTGTGACCTCCATGCAAGGGACAACCGGCAACAAAACTGTCGGGACGGAGGCAAAAACAAATTCCACAAATACATCGCAAGTTAACTTGGGGAAAAATGTGTTGGATCCAGCTCTGGGCATCAAGCTTGATCTTAAGGCAAAGACGCCTTCTCTAAATTTAAATAAAGCCAGTCTAAAAACCCTTTGTACGATTTTAAAAGACTTGTAAGTACATTTCTTTTTTATGTCTATCTTTTTTCTTTTGTACTACTATTTGTTTCTTCACTTTCAAGAAAACGCAGTTTATTTATTAATGTACTAAAATCATTTGATCATTCATTTTCAGATGTCAAAACCAGTATGACAGTTGGGGGAAATGAGAAAAAAATTCAGCATATTTTTGTTAAAGATGTTCCAAAAAGAAAGCAAAACAAAATATTAAGCCAAATATATCACTTTATTAATATATAATATATTTTTGATTTGAGTTTCATATTGTTAACTCGCCAAAAAGAAGTATTGCCATACAGATTTGTAATATTAAAGAACATTTGCCAAAGGCTTAAATAAAATTATTTCTGGAGACAGATGAAGCAGCTTCTTATTTCTTGTGGTTTTGTGTACTTGCATTACGATCACTATTGATATTCCCGTGATAAAATATTAATGAAACTGGGGTCACCTTCTTGATTTATTTTCATTTAAAGATTTTCGTTGTCAGTTGGGCATTTAAATGAAAATTGTACAGTACTGCCCTCAGACCATGAGCACCATTACTTTACTACAAAATATCGCTATTTTCATATAAAGTCATTTAAACCAAAAAAAAAAAAAAAAAAAAAAAAACAACTTTTAACTGAAACAAAAATGAGTGTAAAAGAAACTCATTTGAGCAGAATTATAAACCCTTTTTGTTTTAGGAAAGTTAATTAAATGGTATGGATTGCCGGAGAAATTGAATCAAAGTACAAATGACAGCTTTTATCATTGTTGGGTAAAATTAATAAGAAACATCCATCTAGCAACACAAAAATATAACCTCGTCAATGAATGTTTTTTGGTTGGTTGGTTGATTAACGTCCATTCGAGAATTTTTCACTCAGATTAAGACGCCACCACTTGCCGGTGGAGGGCTGTAAATTTAGACCTGTACTCGAAACTTAGGGCATTAGAGCAGTGGGGGATCTTTTTCGTTCAAGTTTGAATAACTATATCTAACCAGACCATTGTAAAACACAGTCTAGAAGCTGAACAGTCTAGCATAAACCCCAAATAACACAACTGCGTAACTGAGAAATATATTTTAGTTATCTACAATAAGAAAATGCAATACCAAAAATGCAAATTCTGAAAAACAAATTAAGGGTTGTCTTAAAATCCAATACAATATTGACCGATCAATTGTAGAATCAACCCGTCAATTATCAACCATTTCCACACAATGGGAAAATTAACCGTCTCAATTATTCCACGAAGTCAACTTTTATTACATAGACATATTCAACAGGCAAAGATCCAGTTTACTTTTCATAATATCAAACCCGGACAACAACTGGTATCAGTAGTAGTCAGTCCCTACCAAGTGTCAGTGATAAGTTGAAATAACAAATATCAATAATACTTTTAGTAAATACAGCAATTGACTTTGTATGTAGTTGCAATATAGCTTGAAACAACAAAAAACGTTTTGTCACTCCACATGGGAGAACCAAATATAGTGGTCCTAGCATGGTCATCTTCATATACCCTCTTTTCTTTTTGAAAAATTGCTGAATTTTGACAATTTTAATAATTGACAGTTTTCCTTTGCTGAAAATGAAATGTGAAGATAAGGAACAGTGAATATTTTCTGAAGTCCATTTAAACAATAAAATTCATGATTAGAGCCGCCAACAAATATAGAAAATAGAGGTGGGATCAGGTGCCTGGAGGAGTGAGCACCCCCTGTCGACCTGTCCCCATACCCCCCCCCCCCAACCCGTGTTCCCAGTCATGATTGGGTAAACGGAAAAATCCGTAGTCAATTCGGTGTGTCAATAATGGCCTAACAATTTAAAAAGTCTTCAGTCAACATTTACCTAACTACAGATTGTATTTGCAAACAAGGTCATTATATAGACCTAGAATTTGTAATATGTTGACTTTAAATGAGGTTGTTGATATTCTTGTATCATCAACTTATTTGTCAAAGGCTGTTTTGTTTTAGACATTTTCGTACATAGAACATGCTCTTGCGTATCGAATGAATTGGGAGACATAAACTCCATATGCAGGTGACGATGGTAAATTGCTGCGTAAGAAAAGTTTACAATAGAAAAGTTAAAGGCATCATAAAGTTTAGTTGTCAGTTTGCCATCAATGTCTTTCTCTAGTATTATAAAGCAGATGTGTGATAAAAGAATTAGAAAGACTACATGAACAATATGATTGATTAATTAAATTTATGTTGTTTTACGTCCCGTTCGTTTCCCTCATTTAGAGACGTCATCATATACCGCTGAAGGGCTTCAAATTTAGACCTTTACCCGGCACTCAGGGTCATTGAGGGTTCTTTATCATGCCAACGCCTACCGTGACACGGGGCCTCGGTTTTAAGAGTCTCATCCGAAGGACCCGCAACTTTCACTTCAAAGTGCCGAGCGCTTAGCAAAGGAACAGTTACTGTCTATTTTTTATTGACTTAGGTCAGTCGCGGCGTAAACAATATGTTATGGTTCCAAAAGACAAGGCTTGTAATAAAATCGTCTTTGTTTGTGAGCTCTTTACTATAACTATAAAGAAATTGGTTTCAATTCTACGTCTTGAAATACAACTTATACTCATAGTTCACTTTCTAATGATATAATTCTTTAGAATCACATTTCAGTCTTTAATACTTTAATATTCCAGTCAACCAAGGTGTGTTTGATCTACACTACCTATTCTGAATTCATAAACTTCATAAAAATCCTTAAATCAAAGATGCATTGCCGGGTCTAGCAATGAAAATCATATACGGTACCAATTTTGATGCACCAGATGCGCATTTCGACAAATTATGTCTCTTTAGTGATGCTCAAGCCGAAACGCTGGAAATCCAAAATATTTAAACAAAAAAGACTTGGATGAGCTGAAAAAGGTGCCAAAGACTGGGGCCAAATACGTCGAAGGATCAGAGCTATGCAACTTTTATACCAAGCCCCTATCTTTATTCTTTACAAAAATATTAACTGCTGTAAAGGAGAAACTTCAGACGTACATGTAGCGTGCTACAGTATATTCTAGAAGTGGCGTTAATCAGATGTGGATTCTCAAAACTCCAAAGAACTCTTAAAAAATTTTAAAATACATTTTTTCCAAAAGTCAGTGACATCCAAATGCATGACTTTTCTACACTATATACAACCACTACAAACGATAAATTTAAAACTAGAATTTGATATTACAGAAAATTGCTTCTTCAAAGAAAATGGCTATGATTTGTTATCGACAAAATCACTTTGTTGCAAAATCATTTTGATTCTACACACAAGTACTCTGAAGTTGATATTCCTCATTGACAACATTTATGCAGTCTTTGGAGACCAGGTCTTCCAATGAACTGTTGGAATTTCGATGTGCACTAAATGTGCTCCTTTATTGGCCGATTTGTTTTTATATTACATGTTCTATGAAGCAGAAGTTATTAAAAAACTTCTACATTCAGATATATCAACGACGTTTTAACAATGAACAATAGTTACTTCGATATACCCCATTTAATTAGAAATAACTGACGAGACAGTGTCTGCCACATCTGTTTCATTTTTGGATGCATTACTGACTATAGTGGCCAACTAACAACTAAATTGTATGACAAACGAAATTAATTCATCTTTTCAATCTTAAACTTTATTTGTATAGTTATATTCCGCTATCACCTGCATATGGTGCTTACGTCTCCCAACTTATTCAATAATACTCGAAAGAATGCTCAAGTGACATGGAATTATGAGCATCCCTGTCGTCCTGTCACATCTGACATGTGCCCTTTGTATTATTTGAGTAAACGGAAAATAAGTCCTTATCCTTCATACTTGTATCAGAGATATAATTGATTAAATCTGAAGTGCCTTCTTTTGTATATTTGAAAAACAATTGGATTTTTTATCGTTAAATCTTAATTGTCTTAATTCTGGCTTGAAAAATTTTAATATGAAAGAAATATGATATAATAAATTCCTCAAAAAATTACCGTATTTACAATTTAGTCATTTCTTTTAAAATCTAACCCAAAAAAGAAGAATTTTGATATACGTTTTCCTACAAAACTACTTGATTTTAAAGTGATCCTATTTTACCTTATTTTGTTACACTCCTGACATCTGATTCTATACATAATGAGTCAAAATCATGTGTTTCTTTTAAGATAATTGTATCATAAAAAAAAGATTTATGTGTAATATGACTAAAGCGAAGTTTTGACAACTCAACTTCACTGTAAAGCAAGAAAAGAACTGCAAAATATGTGTCGGAAAAACAAAGGTTGTATATACCGCTTTGTTGTTATCGTCAATGTCAACAATGTCAAGGTCGAGCGACTTTTATTTGAAACTTGTAAACAACATTAAATTGGAGCAAACAGAAGTGTGAGAGATAAGTTCTGATCATCTTTATTGAAGATCGTATCAAAATTCTCAGTCATCCGATATTTATATCTATGGAATTGACACGTACCATGGTAAATCCTCCATTTTTTGCGCATGGGTACAATAAAGAGGAAGAAGTGAAGCAATATTTTTGTGTTTGGGCAAACAGAAAGTATTTTTACTTTTATTTTTCTCCAAAAAAGTAGATCTTTTAGGTTCTGAAACCTGTAATTTTCTGAAACCTAATATCTTCAAGAATTGAATAAAATTTGCATTTGTCATCTTAAAATTCTTCTTTTGTCAGTTTTCCCCTTTTTAGGTCACAGTGTCACTTTAAACATTGATTCAAAAGTCATAACACACAAAAACTCATCCAATGTTTGTAAAGCAGTTATCATTTTGATATTTTCTAATCATTTACAGCAAGTTTTTCATATTCTCTTGACTTCAAAATATGAGTATTTGCTTACGTAATATATATTAAGATATATATGCTTAGTGATAAAAAACAATTCTGTGAATTGAAAGTAAAATGTCCAAAAATGCCTGTAATTTGTTGATAGGCAAAATGATTTCAACTACTAATAGTATCAAACATTTTCTGCAATTTATATTTTAGTAAAAAGAGATAAGCTCATTGATAATTATGAATCAGTTTTGTTGCACTCCTGACTGTAGTAAAATTTAAAATTAAAATTTAATTCATGAAGTTTTGTCAACATCAAGTTGTAATGAAATCGTGCAATATTTATATTCCCAATACTTCATCGTTAAAATGTATAAAGTTGTTAAAACTTGGCTTTATATCTTAAACTTTTCCCTATTAATGTCACATAACTAGCTAAAAATATATTTAGAGGACAGAAGTATATTTTATAGGACAATTTACTTTCTTTAACAAACACTGTAAACAAATGAGGTCAACCAGAACATTCCTCTCCTCGATTATTTTCTTTTTTTACCAAGAGTATGCAAGACATTAAAGT